GCGTGTGGATGGGCAGTGGCATTCCTGGTGTAATTTCGCGATGGGATAGGGGTACTCTTCTATTTTGAAACGTTTTTACTGGTGGGACTTGCCAGAATCTCAGGATTCTGGGAAAATCAAGCTTTTTGGGTGCTTTTGGATTGCACTAAGATTCTAGAGAATCCTCTCCAGATTTTGGAAGTGAAAACGAGTTCTTTTGGCTTCAGATTTTCCAGACCAAAATTCTCCACAATCTGCTCAAAAGAACTGGGCCTAAGTATGTACGTGATGGGTTTACAGGTCAAGAATTTCACTGCAGATTAGGTTGATGGACATGATAGCTGAAGTTTGAGCGAGATCGGCTGACTTCCGAATTTACTTGTAACTAGGAAGAACATACTACTTGAAATTTAACAACTTGACATTAGGTTGGCATGCATATATTGCCCAGCTGTAGGCTAGGTGAGCATGAAGACATGGGGAAATCTGGAGTATTACTTTTAGTTGCGTGTTAATCAACAAACCATGGAGAGGTAGATGAACAGGGACCAGGCGAAAAACATGACGTAGAGGGTTTTTTAATCAGGATGGAGGACAAAACCTTTCCGATAAAGACAGCTGCTCAGGTTTGCCCGCGGACATGTGCTAGTTAGATTTACGCGCACACAACATGTGCATGCTGCTTGCCTTTACCTAAGTGTGCTCTAATTCATGGCAAGGAAAATTAGTTCACATGGCAATTATTATTGTCGTACGAGTGGATTTCGGGCAAAGAGATCGTTAATTTACAGGTTTATCTGCGCTTCAGTCACCAGTCATCACGCACACACAGACGGAAGTGTAATTTCCTCGCAGACAAGAAAAATTAATCTTCATGAAATCATCATCTTCTGCACACAAGCTGTTACCACCTGCTTCCCCATAGCGAGAGAGTTGACTAGTTCTGCTTCGACAGGTACCCTTCATTTCCAATCAGTCGTTCAAATTTCAGGATCTGGAAATTCACTATGCCCGTGTTAGCAACTTAGCATGCACGATGGTTAACTGCGTAGACGTGGTATATTTACCATTTTAAAATGAAAAATGCAGTATACCGAAGAATGTACTAGCAGTCCTCTCGATTGGCGTTATGTTTCCTAATAATCTATAGCTGATATGGAGTTCTCGTTCGGTCGTTCCTGCCTTCACTGCCACCTTGTCCTTGTTCATCACGAATTTCCATAACCGACACTCCCAAATAGTCTCCAATTGCAACCCTGATAGATGAAAGAGCACACGCTTTACTAGTCTGGAATCTAAGCAAACGAAATCAGTGTAATGGACTACAGCATCACTATAACTAAGCAGACAATGAGGTAATACAGACATTAAAAAGAACTGGAAACACCGATTACCTTTCTGACCCCGTCAAACATGCGAGACCACGAACCGGCATATTGACCGGGAAATATGGAGCACTCACTATTTTACCATACCATATACAGAGAGAGGGGCTAACCAGCATTTTTTTCGAAACTGAGTCAAAAGGTTTGTCTCATCGATTAATTAAGCAGAAGAGAATTACTAATTAATTAATAGAAAACCGGGCAAAAACCGACACAAACCGACCACATGCGGACTACTTATAGAGCATGCAACCCCAGAAGTGCATGATCAGTCCTAGAACCATACCTAGCACGCAACTACCATCAATCCCCACACTACTACACCGCAAGGAAACCCCGAACAAAAGTGCCTGGGCTGAAGAGCACAAACACAACCAAATTCACGGAGACAAGCATGAAATGCCAAGGCACCTACCTTGTCACCCACCGACACCACCGCTCCATCTCCATCGGAAGCATCAATGAAAGAGGTGAAGCGGGCTCCCCAAAACGCTCCTGCAGCTCAGTAGGCAGCACTAGAGCCACGGCCTCGTCGATGACTACACACCCAGAAGGAGTCAACAACACAGACATCGATGACGGACATGATGTAGCAGGACGGAAGAAATGTCCATAAAGGCTTGCTTCCTCCCCAACTGAAGACCCATTCGGCAACGGGCACAACCTTTAGTTTGGCGAGAGCGGCCTCCGCTCTCCACAAACACTCCCAACTCGCGCAAGGCAGTTGCGAAGCTCTGTGCTAAGCAGCTCGGTCTCCTCTGCTAGGACGGGCTGCAATTGCACATCCACCGGTATTGCGACAACCTCTGGTGCAGGCGGTAGGCTAGGCGATGAGGCATCATGACGCAACTTCGAAGACAGATTGGAGCGATGTTGAGCACAGGAGAAACCACACTTTATGGCCGAAACAAAGGCATCGCGTGCACCGGATTCGGTCCCTACAAGAATGGGCATGATGACCTTTGGAGAGACAATGAAAGCATCGATCCCTGAGCCACGCCGGAGCAGCAGGCCGGACAATGGAAGCGGGCCGACGGAAGACCTTTGTAGATGGCGAATGGCGGCGCTCAGTGACGAGGTGTCAATCTCCCAACGTTTCCCCACAAGCTGCTGGCGCGCAGCACATGGGACCAGCGGGCGTCATCTTCCTGCTGACGCATCCAAGCCAGTCCCCCAACTAGGACGCACAGGAGAGGCCACCTGGAAGGCAACCGGCAGCAGCATGGAGGTCGTCGGATGCAAGGTCGATGAATAGTGGCGGCTCAGACGCATCGCAGAGACGATGGCCGGTACGACCGCCACAACGGACTAGGGCGCCGAGCCACCTCTCAGCATGGCCGGAACAGCAGGAGGCGACGCGGACAATGAACCAGTGAGGAGGAGAAGGCAGTGAGGAGGAAGGCAGTGAGGAGGAAATCAGTTCATCCTCCAAGAGAGAAGAAGAGAGAAAACCAAGAGAGCAAGGGAAGAAGAGGAAGATTGAAGGAAGAAGAAAAAGGAGCTCCTCCCCAAGGTTGTGATGGTCCAGATCCACTACCTTGCCTCCTTCAAGCTTCGGGTCCACCATCTTTGGTGAGATTGTTCCAATCCCTAATTCTTGAGCCCCAAATCTTGTTGTGTTCATCCAAGATTCAGAAATCTTGATGTATGAGATCCTCTAGTGTTGTCTAGAGAAGAATTTGTTGTATCCCACATTTGATAATAGTGGAAGAGGATTTGGGTGGCTTCGGCCCGTGGTTTTTCCCCTCAAGTTGAGGGGGTTTCCACGTAAAAATTTGGTGTCTCTTTGTTGATGCTTGGTGTTGTCCAGAAATTTACTCCTACCACAAGACACTAGGCTGAGGAGTGTCTTGCCTGCTGAGTAACATTTTCTGCCTCCATATATGCTGTTGCATATGTTTCCTTCCGTGCTAAGCAACGATCCTTAAATTAGTACATGATGTAGTGCTGAGATTCCTTGTTTTCGCTGCAGTTTTTTAGTTAAACATAAGTGCATTTGTGTGCTAATTCCCAACAAGATTTGACTCCCCTCTCCCCTGACCCTGGTTTTGGCTAGCATATGTCAGATTTGACCCGCTGACTGTCATGTTAGCATCCCAATTAGCTATGACATCAGCACATGTACTAAAATAGGGCAGCTGATTGGGATGCTCACATCTGAAAGTATTTTTGGGGAAAGCATCTGAAACTTTAATGATCATTATATTAGTCTTGAGTCTAGAAAACTATTTCAAAATGTTTTTGACACTTCCCTTTTTGGACAACATTTCACAGAAAAGGGGGTTTGCAATTGTAATTCGGGTTATTTTTAAATCTGTTTGGAAAATATCTCAAATTTTCCTAGAATTATGAGTATATTATTCTCAATTTTACATAATTGTTTCCAAATTTTTAGGATACTTTTTTTTGTATAGAATTTGGCTGAAAAAGGTCCTGAAATTGTAATTTCAGGATCCATATCATGACTTTACATAGTTTTGGCCCAAGATTCTAAATTAGTTGGGCTAACACATATTATAGGCAACTGGTCATTCATAGTGGTAAAAGACTGATCATTAATAAAAACAGGATAAAATCTCAAAAATAAAATAAAATAAAACAAGATAAACCCAAATGAACCTCTCCCAAAATCCTAGGTACGCTTGCACACAACACAATGTGTCTCCGGCGGCCTGCATCCGCACACCGGCAGTCCCTTGTGCTGGGTGGTACATCACGTACATACGACCCGGCGGCCGGCAACGGTGACGACGTTGACGTGGAGCTGCGGCGCCACCCGGATCCGATCCTCCGATTCGGCTCCCGCACGATCGGCTCAAGCCGAGGCTTCCATGCCCTGGGCAGCAACATCGACGTCACGACCAAGGACGACGACCTGACCCTCACATACGACACAGAGACGGCGGCGCTGCACACCACGACCAAGGAATCGCCACAACAGACGGGTTGCCACCACGCCATGGCCACTGCCAACAATCTGCACACATTGGATTCCGATGGCTACATGCTCAACTTCGATGAGTAGGGCGTGCCCCACTGGGAGGTTGGCACATAGGTGGAGCTCTGCGGAGGTGGATGACAGTCTGCTATCTAAAAAAATTACAGAATCAGTATGAGGTGACAAACATGGTGGGCTTCTTTCCACGTTTTATTGGGCTTGGCTCATACTTCCTCCGTTCCTAAATATAAGTCGTATATAGACATATTTTAGAGTGTACATTCACTCATTTTGATTCGTATGTAGTTCCAATTGAAATCTCTAAAAAGGCTTATACAGTATTTAGGAATGGAGGGAGTATGCTTGAGAAGGGGATGTTGCTGGCTTACCTAGGAATAATCTAACCTTCTATACATGAAAACATCATGTAGTCCTTTCTTGTGGCAACGTATGGGCTACGCGCGATGGAGGTCGCTCGTTCAACTCTCCGGACAAAATATTTTTTATTTGGTAGGCACAAAAATGAATGAAGCACAAAAACTTACAGAATTTTAGTGGCACCTTAGTGAAAATAATTATATATGTTGAACGGACCACAAAATTCGAAGAAATGCACCATCCTTTATTATTATTAAGTATAAATTACATGTGCGGAGATGAAAAGTAAAAAATCACACAAGTACATATATAGATGATTATTAAGCGAAGGGGGTCTGCTTGTAGCAGTCGAGGTTGCCACCATAGCCGATATCGAAGATGTTGCAGTAGCGTTTGTAGAACCCGATTCGGTCGGCAACACGATTATCATACCCGTGCCCGCACTCAATCCCGCCGTTGACAATGTTGGTGATCACGCCAAACCCGGGCACCCGCCCCGCGGCCCGGTCTGTCGCCGAAGGTTTCCATTGTCCCGTGATCACTGCATGGCTGGAGGGCTTGGGCGGTTGCGCCGTCATCCAAAACCAGATGGCAGTTTTGAACGACACGGTCGGGTTTGAGGCCACCAAGTTTGGGTTGCCCAATAGGTCGGCCCCGATGGCCCGGCCTGCCTGCCCGTAGTTGTAGTTGTGAGATAGCTGGATGGGCCCACGGCCATAGTAGCTCTTTCCGGGTGCACATGGCCACTGCGTGCTTGGGGTGCAGTAGTTGGAGGTGGGGTTCTGCTCCTGCTTGAAGCAGTAGCCCCATGCGTAGGGCCCATTCGGGGCTGTGGGCCACTCGCCAGTTGTTTCATGAGAGGTTTGTGCTAGGAAGGCAGCCACCTCGCGCTTCCGTGTGACGGTGCTGCCTGTGGTACCAAACCCAGGAAAGGCGGCGGCAGCTGTAACAAAGGCGTCATAGGTATAGAATCCCCTGGCGTGGCATCCCGGGTCATTACGATGGAGTAGCATTTGGTTGAAGAGGGAGCGAGAGATAACGGAGGACACGCCACCGCCGATGGGATTGGGCGTGACGGGCATGGCACCGCCGCCGCAGCCAGAGCACTGGCTCTGGCAGCCGTCACCGCAGTATTCCGAGGTGGAGCCGCACCAACCGTAGCGGCTGCGGCAGAGGCAGTTGGGGCAGGTCGCCCCGCCAGCCTGGGAGCCGCACTGTGCAGCGCGCACGGTGCCGATGGCCATGGCCGCCATGGCTAGCACGGCCACCACCTCGAGCGCCCTCATCGTATGACGTGGCAACGCAGCACAACTCAGTTTTTTTTAGGCAAAGCACAGTTGGCCGCTGGCTGGTGCAACTATAGCGTTACACATAGACCTGTAGTTGTGTGTGTGCCAGAAGTGGTGGGGAGTACATGTCTTTATATACGTTTTGCGCTGCAAGAACTAGGTAACAGATTTGTCTCCTCCTCACTGCCTTCCTTCTTGGCGGCTTAGTTCCGAGTACGGCAACAAACAGCTAGCCAATTCGTGCAATTTCCTAGCGGAAAACAAAAAGTAATCTTCCTGAAATTATCATCTTCTGCACACAAGCTGTTGCCACCTGCTAGAGTTGACGTACTAGCAGTCCTCTCGATTGGCTTTGGATATCCAAATAATCTACATCTGCTACGGAACTCTTGTTGCTGCTGCCTTCACTACCACCTATCCTTCATCAGCAATTTTCATCACTGACACTCCATCACGGTCTGCAACTGCAACCCTGATAGATGAAAGAGTACACATTTTACTAGTCTGGAATCTTAGGAAACAAAATCAGTGTAAAGGACTACAACATCAAAATAACAAAGCAGACAACAAAATGGTAATACAGAAATAAAAAAGAACTGAAAACACAATTACCTTTCTGACCCCATCAAACATGCCAAACCACGAACCATCACACTGACCCCAAGCTTTGTCTTCAGCCTGGGAAATATGAAGCACCCACTATTTTAGCATATATGCGGCAGGGGCTAATCAGCAAAAAAAAAAAATCTGAGTCAAAAGATTTGCCTCCTTCACCCACAAAAAAAAAGATTTGCCTCCTTGATTAATTAAGCAGTACAAAATTGCCTAGTAATTAATGAAAAACCGCGCAAAAACCGACACAAACCAATCACATATGGACTACTCATAGAGCATGAAACACCAGAAGTGCACGATCAGCCCTACAACCATAACCAACGCGCAACGACCACCAATCTCCACACTACTACACCGCAAGGAGACCCCTAACAAAACTGCCTGGGCTGAAGACCACGAACACAACCAAATCCATGGAGACAAGCCAGGCCATAAGGACCGCCCAAGAGACTGATGGCCATCCATCAAGCAGCTACACACGCAGTGCTTTCTCCACATTCGTCTTGCCAGATCCAGGGCTAGCCGCCTCCTAATGCGTGAGCAAGCTGCCAAGCTGTATCTGAGAATGTCATCAACCTTGTCCCTCACAAACACCACTACGACAACATCCTCAGCCACGGGTACCACTGACATGACGGACTCAGGTGCCTCCAGTTGCTCACATGGCAGAGGCAAACCCAGTAGTTTCGCCTCAGAAATAGGTGCCAATGCACCTACCTCGTCAACCTCATCACCCACCGACACCAGCTGCTCCATCTCCTTCGGAAGCACCAAAGAAAGAGGTGAAGTGGGCTCCCCGCAACGCTCCTGCAGATTAGGCATAATAGGCAGCACTAGAGCCATGACCTCGTCGATGACTACACACCTAGAGGCAGTCAACAGCACAGACATCGATGATGGACATGATGTAGAACGAGGGGAGAAATGTCCATAAAGGCTTGCTTCCTCCCCAACCGAAGACCCAATCGGAAGCTCAACCAGCGAAGGCACAACGGGCACAAGCTTTAGTTTGGCGAGAGCGGCCTCCGTTCTCCGGAAACACTCCCAACTCGCGCAAGGCAGTTGCGAAGCTCAGTGCTAAGTAGCCTAGTCTCCTCTGCTAGGACGGGCTGCAATTGCACATCCACCGGTGTTGCGATAACCTCCGGTGCAGGCGGTAGGGCAAGCGATGAGGCATCATGATGCAGCTTCGAAGACAGATTGGAGCGATGTTGAGCACAGGAGAAACCACACTTTATGGCCAAAACGAAGGCATCGCGTGCACCAGATTCGGTCCCTACAAGAATGGGCATGATGACCTTTGGAGAGACATTGAAAGCATCGATCCCTGATCCACGCCGGAGCAGCAGGCCGGACAATGGAAGCGGGCCGACGGAAGGCCTTTGTAGATGGCGAACGGCGGTGCTTAGTTACGAGGTGTCAATCTCCCAACGTTTCCCCACGAGCTGCTGGCGCGCAGCACATGGGACCAGCGGGCGTCATCTTCCTGTTGACGCATCCAAGCCAGTCCCCAACTAGGACGCACAGGAGAGGCCACCTGGAAGGCAGCAGGCAGCAGCATGGAGGTTGTTTAGGATGCAGGGTCGATGAACAGTTGCGGCTCAGACGCATCGCAGAGACGATGGCCGGTACGACCCCCGCCACCGACTAGGGCGCCGAGCCAGCTCTCAGCATGTCCGTAATAGCAGGAGCCGACGCGGAGAATGAACCAGTGCGCAACACGCCCGGAGTGGCAGATGCAGCTGCTGCCGATGTGGAGGCAAGCTGGGGGCGCGGACAAAGGACGAGCGAAGTCGGAGCACCAAGCACGGGGATCCTCGTGGACGCGGGCGCTGGCTTGTCGAGGTGCTCCTCCAGCACCTGCACGGACCCTCTACCCACCTAGACAGGGCGGCCCCGCGCTGGCTGCAGTGGCGTGGCAGGACGGGGGACCGGCAGGACGACGCATGCCCTGCAGCCAGCAGGCAGCTCCGCGGTAGGCGGCGGCAGCGAGCTGGCCAGGACACGGGGCGGCGGCAAGGTGGCCGACGGGGTTGCTGGCGGTGAGGACGGGACGGACGGCGGAAGGTTGCGCGGGCTCTCTTGCGCGCGGGAGGGACGGAGAGAGCAGATGGCGCGGCGGCCGTAGGGGTGGCCGAAGCAGGGAGATCCGGCCGTGGTTGTATCGAGACATGGCGAGACGTGGTTGTATCGTGCTTACCTGAAATCAGTGGAGCTCCACACACGAACGGCACCATTCCATGCACATGTAATTAGAACTGGAAGACTGGGATGGGCAAAGACGGAATGGACCTCACAATCATGTTCAAGTGTATGATCACACTCCTTGTGCTGCAAGTCCCATATCTGTTTTGAATTAAAAAAACAAGGCACTCATATATTAGAAATGCTAGATGCATGTTGTATTAATGTACTTTCCAGCATAATAGCCGACCTTGGCAGTGCCATCAAAAGAGCCACTAATCAAATACTGCTGACCATCACGCATGAAGAAATTCAGGCAATTCACGTCATCCCAATGTCCATACAGAGTATACTTGGATTTGGGAGAATCAAGACTCCAAACCTGAACACCAAACATAAGAGCTTCCAGTCATAGTACAGTAGAAAATGAAACATATTCCATCTTCATCACTGCATCAAAAAGTTTACTTAGCAAAGAAATAAGAGAGAGAAAGCAATACCTTTACTGTATGATCCCTAGAAGCACTTGCAAAACTGTTGGTGTCCTCTGGGTTAAATTTTACTTCATTAATATCATCTGAGTGTTCCTCAAATGTCTGTATGCAATTCCAGTCCTGGTCCCAGTCCCAAAGCTTTATTTGCCTATCACACCCTGACAGCACATACGGCTGGGTCGGATGAACGTCTAATGTACACCAGTAGACGTCACCATCGTGAACTTTGAAACTCGTGACCGTCTCGAGTTCCTTTTCATAGTCGTACACATGGACGAAACAACCACATGACGCAGCCACAAACCACCGCTTTCGTGCAATAAATTTGACAGTCAATACTGCAGTGAGGGCGCAATCGTCTGATTAGCATATCATTGTACAACTGTACATATGGTGGAAGAAAATTGTGCTAAGTCAGAGAGCTTACCTTTTTTCTTTGAGACCTTAACCGAAGCGACCACTTTCTGCCAGTAAACATAAATGAGTCATTTATTGGTCCAATGTAAAGAAAAGATTGGTATATTTGCCAACAAAAATTGAGCTTTTGGTGATGACCCTTTACATTTAATCATGGTAATTTAATTGAATACTATGACCGGAAAAAAAGTAGGCAAAACATTTTCCAATATGGTGTGGTGTTTTAACATAGACTTCTCCTGCTATTTGGAAATCAACAAAATTTGTATATGTACTTATGGACTAAATGCTTGGGCCACGAGCATCTTTCTGATGCAAACGGCAAGCGGCCGTAATTTTCTTTCCTTATCCCAAATACTAGCAGAAGAAGCAGTAGAGGTAACTTGCCTGCGTGTCAGAGTTCCAAATCTGAACATCACCAAATGGGTGACCGGTTATAATCCTGTATGATAATGAGGTATTAAAGAAGGATAGTCACATCCAATGCACTGACTTGAAAAGGAAGCTTAAAGATTAAAATGCTCATATTATCCTACATACTTACAATGGCTCTGTCTGATGTGCATCCACACAACATAC